TGTGTGTGTGTGTGGCCAGCTCAGCCCACCAGGGGGCGGGGCTGGCTGTCACGTGGTGCTGGGGGATTGAACCGCAGGGAGCTTTGCTAAGGTTGTTCTAAGTACGCGCTTTAGACCACTGAGCCATCTCACCAGCCCCTGGATGTAGCTTCTTGAAGGAGGTAAATCTTGAATTTGTGGCGCATGAAGGGACCCACATTAATTAGAAAGTATAGAGGAGAGCTGGGGATATACCTCAGTGGCACAGCGCCTGCCTGGCAAGTGCAAAATTCTGAGTTCGATTCTCAGTACCAAAAAAAAGAAAGAAAGACAGGAAGGAAGGAAGGAAGGAAGGAAGGAAGGAAGGAAGGAAGGAAGGAAGGAAGGAAGGAAGAAAGAAAGAAAGAAAGAAAGAAAGAAAGAAAGAAAGAAAGAAAGAAAGAAAGAAAGAAAGAAAACAATAAAGGAACGTAAGACCAAGCTTACATGACTGTGGCTTGCCCTGTCTTTTCCCTTTCACTCGCCAGTTCCAGCTGGCTATAAACTGTATGCCTCATTCGTGTATTGAAATCTTAACCCCCATTGGATGGTATTTGGACAGGGGACCTGGGAAGCGATGGCAGCCTCAGGGCAGAACCTTCTTGGGTGGGATCTGCCCCTGTAAAAGGGAGCCCAAGAGCTTCCCAGCCCAGCCCACCGTGTGAGGCTGGCAGTCCACGAGGTAGGAAGCAGCCCTTCCTAAGACACAAAGTCAGTCTATGGCTTGCTAGTAGGCTTCCCAGCCTCTGGCATTGGCGGAAGTAAATTTCTTTATTTATGAACTACCTAGTCTAGTGTTTTTAATTAGCAGACAAAGCAGAGAAGAGACACAGCCACACTGATGCACTTTCAGTTTCCTGAACCCCAAGCTCCTCAGCCTCGTTGCTCTGTGGGCTGCTCGCCCCACCCCACCCGCTGACCTCCTCAGCGAGGCCTCCCGGTCCTCAGTGTTCTCCCCGAGACCTGCGCCTGGTTGTTTTCATTACCATGTGCGGTAGTATATTCCTGAGTTTATGTTTTGCTCAGTGTTTGTTAACAAAGCTGACTATAATTCCAAAAGAGCCGCATGTTTTGGTTTTCAGGGACATTTAGCATCCAGCCCAAGGTCTGGCATATAGTAGATGACACATATTTGTTGGTAAATGCTTGCCTGGCAAGGGCAAGCTCCCGAGTTCAATCCTTAGTACCACACACAAAAAAAAGAAAGAAAGAAACAAAGAAAGAAAGAAAGAAAGAAAGACCCCACATGTTTGTTGAATAAATGAAATCTCAGAAGGCATAGGAAGGCCAGGTAAGGTGGTGCATGCCTGTAATCCTAGTGGAAGTTCACCAGACTTTGATGCCACTCTGGGCCCCAGAGCAAGGTCAAGGGCATCCTGTGCTGCTTAGTGAAACCCTGTGTCAAATAAATGAATAGGCTGAGTTCAGTCCCCGGAACCAAAAAACAAACCAACAAACAAAAACCCCTAACATAAATAGATAAATAGGAAGTCAGAGAGAAAGAGAGGAAGGAAATGTACTGGGCTAAGGGTCCTGCACAGACGAAAGGAAGCTGCTGGCGACATCTCCTTACTCACCCATGGAAACATTTATGTTGTTGAGCTTTTTGTTTTGTTTTGCTTTGGTTTTTTGCAGTGCTGGTTATCAAACACAGGTCCAGACAGAAATTAGTGCTCTACAACCAAACTATATCCCCCTCATTATTGGCTTTTTATTTATTTAAATTTATTTATGTCTTTTTGAGACACTGTCTCCCTAGGAAGTTCAGGCTGGCCTTGAGCTCACTTTGTAGCCCAGACTGGTCTTAAATGCACAGCAATCCTCCTGCCTCAGCCTCCTGAGTGTTGGGATTGCAAGCACACACCACCACGCCCAGTTTTATTGGCTTCTTAAAATCATAAAAGGAATATCTATATATTTATTGCAAGACTATTGCCAGCACTAAGTATTTTTTTTTTAAGTTTATTTATTTATTTATTTTGTGTGTGTGTGGCCAGCTCAGCCCACCAGGGGGGCAGGGCTGGCTGGCATGTGGTGCTGGGGATTGAACCGCAGTCCTTGTGCTTTGCTTGGCTTGTTCCTAGTAGGTGCTTTAGACCACTGAGCTATCTCACCAGCCCATGCACTAAGTATTGATACCAACTACTGGTGAGGATGTAGAACAACTAGAACTCCTATGTTACTGGTAACGATATAAACTGGCTCGAACACTTTGAAAAACTGTTTAACAGTATCTGCAAACCCTAAACATATATCCAAACCCTAACAAATTCCATTCCTCTATATTTGCCCCAAAGTAAATGCCTCTATTTACACAAAAATTGCATCTATATACAGAATTTTTTTTGAAATGTTACACTATATCAAAAAGTATGCATAATTACTACGTGTGAATTAAAAATAAAATGTTGGGCCGGGAGATGGCTCAGTAGAATAAGTGCTTGCCTGGCAAGTGCAAGGTTCTGGTATCTCAAATAAAAAAAAAAAAAGTGTTGGGACTGTGGGGGTGTAGTTCTGTAAGACTGCTTATAGTATGCAGGAGGCTCTGAGTCTGATCCCCAGCACCACAGAACACACACACACACACACACACACACACACACACACATCAAACAGCAAAATGTGTACCTTAGTGTATATACCTTAAACCCTAATTTTAAAAAAATGAAAGAAATAAAACAAAAAACCCACATACTCTTCAAATATTTGCACAATCTGCAAGTATATATAATGTAAATGAAAGATTTCCTTTTGGGAAAGACTGTAGTCCTCATGTTACTTCATCCAATCTGCTTACATCTCGTGCCTTCTTCAGACTCACCCCATCTATGTCACCCAGAACCTTTGCTCTACTTGCAGCACCAAACCAAGTCACAACGCTTTTGTGAAAAAGTTCAACAGCAATACTGTGTTGAGCTGGGTGTGGTGGAACACGCCTATAATCCCAGCATTTGGGTGGTTGGGGCAGAAAGATTGCAAGTTCAAGACCAGACTGGGCTACAAAGTGAGTTCAAGGCCAGCCAGAACTGTATTGTCTCAAAAAGACAAAACAAAACCAAACCCAAAAAAACCTCTGCCCCTTTGCATAAAGAACACTAAGATATACAAAGAGGAGTAAGGCACAACCAATGTGCTCAAAGAATTTATGGTCCAGAGGGAGAGACCACAGACTATAGACCCAACAGCAAGCCCACAGGCTATACACCATTTTGTGTTTTGAGGATCCATTACAGTGAGTGGTTCACACTATTGCATGGATAATGAACACTTAATTTACTACTGACTACAGGAGTCAGTTTTTCTCCCCCCCCCCCCCAGGTAGGTTTGGTGTCACAGGCCTGTTATTCCCTCACTCTGGCGGGCTCATAAGTCAGGAGGATCACAAGTTCAAGCCCAACATGAGCAATTTATGGAATACCTATCTCAAAATGTGTGGGGAGCCTGGCATGGTGGCATACTCCTGCAGTTCCAGTATTCCAGAGCCCGCACCATCCTCCCACCCTGCAGCCTCCTGTGTGGCACTGTGCCTGGATCTTTGTTTTTTGTTTTCAGACAAGGTCTTGGTAAGTTGCCTGTGCTGTTCTCAAATTTGGGGGCTCAATATAATCCTGTTTCAGCCTTCCAAATGGAAATGGGTGGGGTCACAGGAATGTATGTGCCCTCCTTTTATTACTTAAAAATTTGGGGGTTTTTCTTTTCTTTTCTTTTCTTTTCTTTTCTTTTTTTTGTTATTGTTGAGAAAGGGTCTTGCTATACAGTCCAAGCTGCTCTTGAACTCACTATGTAATCTAGGTTGGCCTCAACCTCCTACCAATCCTCCCACCTTAGCATTCCTTCTGTGTATCCTTTTATAAGAAATGAAGTTAGGGGCTGGTGAGATGGCTCAGTGGTCTAAAGCACCTACTTAGAACAAGCTTAGCAAAGCACAGGGACTGTGGTTCAATCCCCCAGCACCACATGCCAGCCAGCCCCGCCCCCTGGTGGGCTGAGCTGGCCACACACACACACACACACACACACACACACACACTCTAAAAAAAAAGAAAAAAGAAAAAAAGAAATGAAGTTAAATTATTTGGTCAGACTGCTAAAGCCCAAGCATTGACTCCTCATCCATGGGTAAACACAGGCAGTAATGCAGATGACAGGGCAAGCTGATGCACTGACGGCCTGAGAAATGGTGATGCCAGCCTTCGGGAGCCCAGGGGCCCTGAACAGAGACTCTGGGTGTGGGCAAGCTCCAGGCAGCCTGTGCTGCTCTTCTCACTGACTCACTTGCAAGGAAAGGGGGGGGAGGGTGTTAGCAACCACCTGTCATGGAACCAAAGTTGGGAGTGGGAGGGAACACTAGAGCAGGTGTGGTGGCACAGGCCTTTAATTCTACCACTCAGGAGGCTGAGGCAGGATGATCAACTACATAGCAAGAACCTTCCCTCCAAAGAAGGGGTACACTAGGCTGGGCTGGCACGCTGTCTTGATGTTGAAACCCCCATTCATAGGATTGACCACATCCCTTTTCCCCAGTTCTCCTCTCATTCTTTCTCTGTTCCTTTCGTTTTTCAACTCCTTCCTCTTTGACTTGCCCACTACTTACTTCTTCAATTTGCTTTCCCTCAACCCCCAAATCTGCTTTTTTTTTTTTTTTTTTTTTTTTCTCTCTCTCTCTCTTCCCATCTTCCACTAAATAGCTGGGGAGCCTTGGTGTACACCTGTCATCCCAAGGTCCTGAAGCCTGAGGCAAGAGGATCGCCATTAGTTAGAAGAAAGCCCGGGCTACATAGTGATTGTGAGCCAGCCTGGAGTAGTACAAGGAGACCCTGTCTCAAAAATAAAATAAGCCATTTAATAAACAAAACTCCTCCCGCCATCAGGAGTACGAAAGCAGAGTCCACCGAACTCTGTCCTTCTCCCATTTCTCCTGCCTACTCGGAGAAGGCCAGGAAGCAGTCTTTAGGCCACACATCCCTCAGCCCATCCGGGGGGAAGGACGCACGTCTGTTCCCGGTTCAGAACCACTGCTGGCGCGGGCAGAGCGCTCAGGGCCCCCTTTCTGGGCCTCGCGAGCAGACCTGAATCTGAACTTGACGTTCAACGCTGCGAAGAGCAGTCGACCACCTAGAGAAAAGGCAGCGATAGGGACTCCCCCCCGTCGCCGCCCTGCGCTCAGCCCAAGGGAAGGCGGCCCAGGGTCCCCAGTGCGGGCTCGCGAGCTCCGCTTGGACCCCCAAAATGAACCGCCGTCCAGCCGCACCCTGCCCCGCCGACCCCGCCCTCCTTTCTGGGGACTGAGCTCGGGCCCCCTCCCTCCTCGGCAGCCTTCGCCCCCGGCGGCCGGCGCGGGCGGTGCAGCATGCGGCAGAGCTCTTTGCATAAATTATGCTCATGACGCAGCAGCTAAAAAAACCTAAGTAGCAGAAGGAGGGAAAAAGGGGGAGGGAGGGGGCGTGCGAGGGGGGAGAGGAAAACACCGGCGGTCCCTGCCCGCCCCCGCTCCCGCCCTGCGTCCCGCAGCCCCGTGCCCCGCGCGCGGCCCGGCCCAGCCGGTGGGCCCG